TTTATAATACAATTCAATGCGATGAGCCAGCATAACTAGCTCCATATTTACTTATTTATTTATTGGGCTATCAACAATATTAACAACATTGCTTATACTAAAACGTTTGTTTTTATTTGTATAGAGAACAATAGTGTCTAGACAAACCTAAAGAGGATTTAGGACGCTATTTGGATCAAATATATAATTGCTCAATAATGAGTAATAAATAAATAAAATAAATAAACAGATATACAAATAACTACAGTCAAAAAATTAAGATAAAGGTCTCAAGCTAACTGCTCCCACAAAAGCAAATTATAGCTCTTGTTCCTATCGCTGCGACTCCCGTTTACATCAGCCATGGCCCTGGCTCCCTAGACAAGTTGTAAATTGCTTCACGAAGTGAAATACCTAACTCTAACCATCCAAAACATTTTTCGCCGGAGCGAAGCCATTTCGAAATCACAACTGTCATATTTTGTAACTAGTCTATACGAGACTGGCGTAACAAACCCAACTCTAGTTTCCCGCCGCTCCATAGAATTCAAGAAATGCTAAAATCAAACCCCCACTAATAATAAAGGCGAAAGAAAGAAATCTTTGTTACTTCTTCACGTCTAAACGGCTGGAACTATTTTAATAAAATTTGGTATGGAATTAGCTGACACCCTGGATTAACACATAGGCTACGTTTGGACGCGGGTAATACCGCAGGGCATAGCTAGTATCTTCTTAAAAAGTAAACTGTTACGTATTACGTATAAGCTTATGCAAATTATAGCATGTTGAAAAATGCGTTTCAATTACCTCTTCACCCTTGCGAGACGTGAACAGCTCTTTGGCCATGTCCTCTGCCATCAGTCCGCTGAGAACTGTGCAGGTCATGATCTTCAGATTTATATCGATCCGCTGTAAAGTAATAATGCCGCTTAAATAAATTACATCAATGGCATAAAATACTATAAGACGCTTGCGGAGGATTTTTTTTATCGCATCAAATATCAAATATTTGGGCAATAACTAGAAGTTGTTTCCTCATCAGCCAGAGTTTTGACCGTTCCAAATCCAACCCGCTTGCCAGATAATATTTTAGGGTACCTGCCAAAGCCACAATGACCCAAACTTTACGATGCACCAACGTTCTTACCTATATTGGGAGCATGCGCTGACAAACTTTCAGTTTTATGAAATAACGTAGGTCTGGCGTTTACTACAGCCCGGTCTCTGAGCACGTAGAATTTTGTCCAATGACCCTAAGCTACCCATCCTTATCGCTCGCGCGTAATTATGTTGTTGTCGCGCTCGCACACTCACTGCGGGCGCCCGTCGCACAGTCGCGACAGCAACATAATTACGCGCGAGCTATAAGGATGGGTAGCTTGGGGTCATTGGACAAAATTATAGAAGTAGGTATCTACCTGCAATATGTTGAGCAACTCCTGCATAAACTCCGGGTTGAGCATGGCTTTGGTGCTGACGTGGTAGTTCTGCAGGTTGATGTAGCACTGCACGGCCAGCCGCTGCGCCTCTATCGGGTTGTCTTTGACTGAAAACCACAGCATTTAGATGGTCAGACAAATCGAATGAACCTCTTTAAGGCGATTATCACACTGCACCGCGCTCCGCCGCGGTACGCGGGACGACAGATTTAATCATTGTATGCAAGTACCTCAGTTTGTATAGAAAACACGCGCGGCACAACACACTGACAACGCGTCTGCGCGCGGGATTCTTTATATGTAGCCACGCGGGCCGCGGCGGAGCGCGGTGCAGTGTGATAATCGTCTAAGACAAGAGAGAATACAGAAAAGCTATGAATCGACCTAGACGAGAATCTACACTTAACAACAAGGTTAAGGTTTGACGAGGAACATGAACAGTTAGAAACATATGAAATGAAAACCTTTCATGTCATTACGACTTATCGCACTATTTATAAAGTTCTTCATGCCAATAGATGGCGTTTTCTGTACATCATAATTATATGCTTTAAATTTCTAAAAGTAATACAGCAAGGCTAAAAGGAAGGACTGTACCTAATGGAGAGAATTATTAGACACCGACAACAGCGCTCGATATTTGTGTGTATTTTTTTCCTTTCTTGTTTTGTGTGGTGTACATAAAGTGTTATCTATCTCAGNAATGAACGGTCCTGCGCTGCCCGCATCCAGGCTCTTCCCGCGACCTTTACCAGATCGTCGGTCCACCTAGTAGGAGGCCTGCCCACGCTACGTCTTCCAGCCCGTGGTCGCCACTCGAGAACTTTCCTGCCCCAACGGCCATCGTCTCTACGAGCTATGTGCCCCGCCCACTGCCACTTGATTTTAGCAATTCTGCGAGCTATGTCGGTTACTTTGGTTCTCCTGCGGATCTCCTCATTTCTGATTCGATCACGCAGGGAAACTCCGATCTCAGTACTCACACTTCTTGTTAATGTTCCTCAGAGACGCGAAGGTCTTCGGCTCCACCAGGCTGAAGGCAGCTTTCGGGATGATGCGGCATAGTTCTGCCAGGGCTCGCAGCGAGTTCATGCGAATGTAGAACCAGACGGCAGCATCGTCACCGAGGATAGCTGAAGCAACGACAATTATTATCATCATAATCATCATCATCATCAGTTCAGGATAGGAGACAGAGACATACAGACATGAGAAGTCAAGCAACGGTCGCCGTCTACATATGGCATAAAGTCTCAATGATGTTATTTCCGACATCTTTCTTTCTCAACAATCGAATAAGAGCCGTATTAAGAGCAATATGTTGGTATCAGACATTCTCACTGCAGCCAGCAGTAGCTTGCTCATGCTGGCGACCCCATGGCTACATCGTCTCTCTTGACAATCGAAAAAGAACCTTATTCCTTACTGCACAAAGTCTCAATGAATGATGTTAACATGCTCTCTCTCGACGGTAAAAAAACAACCGTATTTCATACCGCACAAAGCCTAAATGATATTGGTATCCGACATCCACACAGCAACCAAAATAAAATAAAAAAACAAAATCAAAAAATAATATTTATTCAGTTTAGACCACAAGTGGCACTTATGAACGTCAAAAATCGGCAGCAGCTTGGTCATGTTGGCGACGCCCATGGCCGCCTTCTCTCGTTTGATAATCGAAAAGGAACCTTATCCTTTGCTGAATAAAGGCTCAATACACTACACTTACACCGCACATCTCCCTTTCTCTCAACAATTGAAAAACAACCTTATTTCTTACCGCACAAAGCCTCAATGATGTTGGTGTCAGACATCCTGACAGCAGCAGGCAGCAGCTTGGTCATGTTGGCGACATCCATGGCCGCGTTCTCTCTTTCGACAAACTATAATGAACCCTATTCCTTACTGCACAAAGTCTCAATGAATGACGTTAATATGTCCTCTCTCGACAGTCAAAAAACAACCTTATACCTTACCGCACAGAGCCTCAATGATGTTGGTATCGGACATTCTAACAGCAGCCGGCAGCAGCTTGGTCATGTTGGCGACATCCATGGCCGCGTTCTCTCTTTCGACAAACTATAATGAACCCTATTCCTTACTGCACAAAGTCTCAATGAATGACGTTAATATGTCCTCTCTCGACAGTCAAAAAACAACCTTATTCCTTACCGCACAAAGCCTCAATGATGTTGGTGTCAGACATCCTCACAGCAGCAGGCAGCAGTTTGGTCATGTTGGCGACGCCCATGGCAGCATCCGCAAGTAGTTCCACGTTGGAACTGAGCAGCTGGTGGCAGAACACCAAGTCCGTGCCGGTTTGGTAGAGAGCCTGAGAAATTAATGGCATATGGATATTAACCGTCATCTGTGCTTAGTGCGAGTTTTCATTGAACGACGTCGCTAGCGAGTGCGTCATAAATACCAAGAAGATTTTAGTTCTTGGAAGTATCTGCCAGAAACGCTGTACAATCTGTGATTTTTTAAGCAGTCTCTAGCGATGATATTTGGTGTAGACCAAGCTCTCAGGTATTTAGTCTCACTGCAGGTACACCATCCTTTCTAATTACCTACTTTCTAAAGCCTGGTCCGTGAGCACGTAGAATCCCGTCCAATGACACCAAGCTGCCCATCCTTGTCGCTCGCACGTAATTATGTTGCTGGCGCGCTCGCACACTCACTGCGGGCGCGCGTCGCACAGTCGCGATAGCAATATAATTACGCGCGAGCGATAAGGATGGGTAGCTTGGGGTCATTGGACGGGATTCTACGTGCTCACGGACCAGGGGAATTATTTTGGCCTACAAACCCAATGCTAGCCACTACAGCACTGGCCAGACAGGTTGGGGAGCCCTGATGTTCGCGTGTTTCTTTTTTAGTTTCGTTCCTACCTTTTACAACAACCACGGGAAGAATGGGGTGGTCTTATTCTACTGTGCCGAAATTATAATCAGTAGAAGTTATCTAACATTTAATAAAAACTTTAAGAAAATGTAATTTATGGGGAATGTAAGATCATGAAAGGTTTCTCAGAAAAATATTACTCACTTTCAGGAGTCGGCACATCAAGCTAAATACTAATGGCATCGTAGTACCTAAGCGATATTATTTTGCATCGTTATACCACAAAAATGTGTAATCTGGTTTGTCTATTACTACTTACATCTCTCCCGTTAGAAGTGAAAGACATCTTAGTCAGCACAGCAAGGCAGTGTGGCTTCATAGCCGGCAGGGCCATCTCCAGGTAAGCCAGCAGTCGGAGGATGCAGCCCGACTGGTACAAGTGGGCAGCATTCTCTTCGGTTTCCACGTAGTTGCGTAGGACTCCTAGCACTTGGGTGTGGACGTCTCGGAACTCATAAGACTGGCGGCGGAAGAAATATGATAATTAATAAATGCAGTCAAAGCGCCAATTTTTGTAAATAATAGGACCTCTTTCACATTAGGACGTTAGAAGTGCGACATTAGAGCGGCAACAGCAGATGCCTGACTACAAATTATGAAAACGCAGTTGCGCCTATCGCGCGTTTGTCGCGCTGTAAAGTCGCTCAAATATGAAAGCGCTCTAAAGATAAAAGGTTTTAAAAAAATATTTAGGAACTTAAAAGTACGGACAGATACGGTCCACTACATATCTAAGTCTTTTTTCATTTTATCGTAATGAGGGTTTTCGCGTATGAAAAATCCGCCAGGTGGCAATACGTAGACGCGAGATCCAAATGCTGCATGATTGGTTATTTTTGACATGACATTGACAGATATGTCAAAATCCACCAATCACGCAGCAGTCAGACCCCACATTCACGTCCCGTCATCTAGCGGATCTTTCATACGCGAAAACCCTCATTAACAATATTATCACATCATCCTCATCACGGCATTGATTTGGTCTACACTGCAGAATCATGACCCTCTGTAATTTACCAGAGGCAAATTGAGACTGAGAAAGTGTAATAAATGATTATTGAACTGCTGCTAAAAATTTATTTATTTATTTATTTTAAGGACAGCCAACAAAGCATACACCTTATCTAATATAACCTTAATACATCAAACATGTGGTGTTGCCTTACTTAAAGGCTGCCACGGCATGCAAATAAGTGTACTACTAATAGAAGGCAAACACAAAAATCGCCAACAAAAAAAATCACCTCCAAAATATCGCACAGGTCCAAAACCCCAGTAGACGCCCTAAAAGTCCTCTGCACCACTTGGTCCTTATACCGGCAGATGAGCTGGTCAACCGTCCGGAGCGCCGCGTGTTGTATGGCCAGGTACTTGCTCTGCATCAGGGCTAGGAGAGACGGCCAGCTGAACTGCTGGTTCTTGGTCACTTCGGACGCGCAAACTGGGTCGTCTAGAAGGTTGCTAAGGGTCTGGGAGAAAAATAAGAACTAAATCACTTTCGTGTCGGCCGTTTGGTGTAGTGGTTCGAAACGGACTACCTACTATTCCGGAGGTTGCGGGTTTGATTCCCGCACACTACAAACATTTGTGTGCATGAACATATTTGTTTGTATTGGACTGGGTGTTTTCTATGTGTATTATATGTATGTATTTACAAAAAAAAAGTATTTAAGTATGTTTAAATCCGTTGTCTAGTACCCATAGTACAAGCTTTGCTTAGTTTGGGACTAGAAGCGCAGTGTAAAATGTCCAAGGATATTTTTTTATTTCTTATAAACTCTAATAAACTATGAGGAAGGAAATTAGGAAACTCACAGGCCTCAGATCTCTGAGGCAGTGCAGCAACCTTTAATTATTCGAAAGCGATACATGCTGGACAAAGGCCTCCCCCAAGACTTGCCATGACGTCCAGCAGTGGACGTCATTTGGACTGAAACGAACGAACGATACATGACAGCTGGAAACTTATCAAGAATCAGTTACATTAGGGCGCCTTCAAATTACAGGACTGAGAAAGCGCTGCAGTAGCGCCACTGAATTTGAAGGCGCCCTTAGTCTTTAAGTATACTGACTGATTAATGCAAGCAATTAGTGTCTAGATATACTCTTAAGCTCCTACGTTCGATAGATATCATATATTTTCAACGCAGATATCAAGGGCGTCAAGCCAGAGTCGTATAAGCAATAGCGCTAGTATTGTAGTCCTCGAGTATGTGCTAGAAGACATAAGTTCGAATCCCAAAAAGGAAATGATACCTGTAAACAGTTTTTCTGGACATCAGGATCTAAGCTGTTTTTCATTCTTGAAAAGAGACTGCTCAGTATATTCGCGGAGACCAGCTGTTCGCAGCCAAGTGGTTCCCTGGTCAGCTCCGAAAGAACTAAAGAAGCAAATTCCAAGACAAATACATCTTCCATCTGAAACCAAATTATGATGCTTTGATATAAAATGTCTATTGTCCAAAAACTACAGTCAAGTACTTTTCACAGCATGCTTGGTTAGGTATTACCAGAGTACGCATCTCACCGCTCGACGCTAAATTTTGTCAGTGTGTGCGTGCGCGCCGCATACGTATTGGCGCGCTCACATACAAACCGTGCTCGGGTGTTTCTATGAAGATGACCTACTCATTTGTATTTAGGTACTCTGGTATTACACAGGCTACGTCAAGTTGTAGAACTCCTATAGATTGTAGACTTGAATTCTTCCTATGCTGACGTCGGTCGCGTAGGCCGTATTATGCAATCGATGTCAGCACAGGAGAGAATCAATCATACAGCAATGAAGATGAATAGAAATGTGTGTCTGTCCATATTAAAACCTAAAGAGTCTCTTTCCTGGTCGGATTTAACGGACGTCCTAAGCTGCGCTTTCCGGTACGTGGCCTCCGCTCCAGAACCTTGCTGCCCCATCGGCCGTCAGTTCTGCGTACTACGTGCCTTGCCCATTGCCACTTCAGCTTGCTAATCCGTAAGTCTCAAGAATTTAAATGCTACCTTGACGAGCATAAACGCGATCTTCCTCAGGTTCTGCGAGTTGGCCAGCACCTGCTCCGGGCCCCTCGGCAGCTGGCACAGCTGCGCCAGAGCCTTCAGCGCGAACCGCTTGATGTTCAGCTCGGGGTGCTCCACGTGGGGCAGGATGTAGCGGATCGCGTTTGAATAGGACGTTGCGGTTGCATTTACAGCATGATTCATCACCATTATCGTTTGAGCCATAGGACGTCCACTGCTGAACATAGGCCTCCCCCAATGATTTCCACAATGGCCGGTTGGTAGCGGCCTGCATCCAGCGCCTTCCTGCTACCATTATGAATTCGTCGGTCCACCTTGTGGATGGACCTACGCTGTGCATTCCGGTACGTGGCCTCCGCTCCAGAACCTTGCTGCCCCATCGGCCGTCAGTTCTGCGTACTACGTGCCCTGCCCATTGCCACTTCAGCTTGCTAATCCGTAAGTCTCAAGAATTTAAATAATACCTTGACGAGCATAAACGCGATCTTCCTCAGGTTCTGCGAGTTGGCCAGCACCTGTTCCGGGCCCCTCGGCAGCTGGCACAGCTGCGCCAGAGCCTTCAGCGCGAACCGCTTGATGTTCAGCTCGGGGTGCTCCACGTGGGGCAGGATGTAGCGGATCGCGTTCAAGTTGAAGAGAACGTTGCGGTTCGCCATGTCTTGGGCGGAGAACTTGGTGATTGCTCGAAGAGTCTACGAGAGGATTAGTGAAAACCAGTGAAAAGAAGTTGGGATTCCAAGTGCAAAGGTTTGTAGGTATGTAAGCTTTGTGGTTTTATGGTTACCTAGTTCGATTCGAGCATCGATTTTCGTTGCTGGTAATTCAAATTCAAATTATTTATTCAGTAGGTACTAGGCCCTATTCTAGGACACTTATACAGGGTGTTAGGTAAATGGGTATATGAGCCGACACTAGCCCATGTTAACATGGGCAAATAAATGGTATGGTGAAGTCAGAAATTTGATATTATCATTTTATGTTTTTTAATTTTCATACAAAATAAATTTAATAAAATACGATTTCTATGAAAAATAAAATAATTAAAATGAAGATATAAATTTTCTGACTTCACCATACTATTTATATGACCATGTTAACATGGGCTAGTGTCGGCTCATGTACCCATTTACCTAACACCCTGTATACGTCCCAAATATAGCTTGCCGTACCACGGGACAATATAGGGTCCTTCTAAATCAGCTACGTTCCGTTTAATGGGAGCATGTATACGTCACACTGAATACGTTCCCAAAGTTTGAGCCAAAAATTCAGGCTAGTTTCCGAGATAATTAAGGAAACAACTTCATTTCTTATCAACCCAATACAACACCCTGTCACAAAATATAACAGAAGACAAACTCCATACTAAACGCGCTCGAGCCACGCACACATAGACACCGCTCCTAGCAAGACTGTCTTGGACGAATGCGAGCGCGACAGACGTTCGCCACACGTTCGCTGTGGTTCGCTTGAGTCACGCGCCGGTCAACCGCCTGTGATATTATTTTGTTTTGCGAAAATGAGTAAACAGAATAAGTCGTACTTAGATTAATAAAACAAAATCAAAAAAAATCAAAATCAAAAATATTTATTCAGTTTAGACCACAAGTGGCACTTATGAACGTCAATAGAAAATAATAAAAAAAGAAAAAGGTAGCCCTTATGGGGCACTTTACATGTCTCCTTATCTTTTGGGCCCTACCAGCGCTTCGAGACAAACATATGGCAAGTGCTGAGAAGAAACGCCGGAACAAACTCAGTCACCACTTATTGCCAGGAATTATCTAACGGTAAGAATAGTCAAATTTAAGTACATCAAATATGTGCAGACTGAACTGACCACGCATCCTTGTCATCAATATAGTCTCGAACCTTGTAGTACCCTTTGGACATAAGGGTATTTTTTATATGTATCTTAAATTTGTTTATTGGCAATTCGACAAGGTTGTGTGGTATTTTGTTAAATATGGTAATACATTTCCCCAAGAATGAATTACCTATCTTATGCAACCTAAATGATGGAACAGCAAGTTTATTCTTATGTCTCGTGTTAAATGAGTGGACGTCACTTTTCTTAGTAAATAAATGTATATGTTTACGGACATACATAATGTTATCAAATATGTATTGCGAAGCCACAGTCAATATATTGATTTCTTTAAAAACTTCTCTAAGCGAGTCACGTGCTTAGATTAATAAAACCTAGATAGATAGTCAGTGCACGAAAGGTGAGGCAGATTTTAGTAAGCCAGAATGGCTTACTCGTAAACGTCACATGAACTGTCAAAGTGAAAAATTGGTAAACACGTCCGACGACTTTTAATTAATTAAGACGGTTTGTGCTGTGAAAGGGTGTCTAAATACATCAGAAAAACTAAAGAAAGTGACCAGTGTTACATTTCATAAGTAAGTACTACGATTCGACGCGTATTTTGCTTGAATTTGGCTTTCAAAAATTAAATACGGGAATGATACCAGTAACAAGAAAATTTATTTCCCAATTGTTCGCCGTACAAATACACTTCCTTTTTTTATGAAATCGAGACTTTTCAGTCGATTTATCTTATTGTAATTAGGTAGGTACTTTGAATTCAATAAATAAGTAAGTACATGATGCGTTTTGTTTTTGTTAGTTATAAAATAATTAAAAACGTATTAAAAATTTCCCTACTTTCGGGAAAATCGCCTTCACTGTCTACACTCCCCAACAAAATTGACACTAATGACATAAGATTTTTGCCTCACTCTTGACGAAGCGTTTGTATGAAGACTATCCATTATAATTGTTCGGTATTTGGTTGCTTAAACTCATCACCAAATACCGAATTTTCATTTTTTAAATTACCAGTTGATTCGGGGAGGTATAGCCTGACCAGGAACATAAAAACCCTGGCATAGAGGCGCTTCAATTGCATTTGATAGTGCAACACTGAGTACAGTCGTACATGTGTTAAATTAATAGGCTAAATTTATGTTATGCTTTATGTTTAGCTCGCTTCCACCTTCGGCCTGATCGTCACTTACCATCAGGTGAGATACAGGCCAAGAGCTTCCTCGTTGTGGAAAAAAAAAAAAAAAAAAAAAAATGTATCAGGATTCAGGATTACGGGCTAATTTGATATTTTCATAAATTAACGAAAAATATTATTAAAGGTAACCTGGTTTAAATAAATTAAATGAAACCATCAATGGAGCTAGTAGGATTTATTTTATTATTCATCAATAATCAAATTCAGAACTTGAATATTCAACTGCAATGTCTGCTCATGAACGCTTCAAACTCTGTACTTCTTTCCCAATTCCATAAAATTCAAAACTTAGAATGTGACAAAAAACTTTAAAATAGGTAGTTGAAACAGACTACAGCTAATTTTCATAGTGGACTGTACTATACGATAAACATGTCAGTCAATTTGACAACCTTTGTCGGAAACATTATTCAATGAAAATATTGTCCGAACCCTTAATAT